AATAATAAACTAGATGCCCACCGCTTAGTAGAGTTACGATAATTTGTTCTAGGTGCTAATGGAGCTGGTAAGTTTTTTTTTTTTTTTAAAAAAAAAAAATAATAAAGATTATTAAAGAGTGTTAAAGAAGATTATTATTAAATTTTAATTAATCGATAAAATTGATTAATAAATAAAAATGGATAGGTAAATCTACTTTACTGACAATATTGGCAGGTAAAAGAATGGTGCATAATTGTAAAGTAAAAGTGTTTGGTAAAGATGCGTTTAAAGATGCACCAAAAGTATGCGTTATTATTATTATTATGATTATTATTATTTTACCTTAAAGATTAAGTTAATCAACAACACACGAATAATAATAATTTTCAGAATATTACATATCTTGGAACTGAATGGGCAAATAATCCTATCGTTCGAGGTGATGTATTAGTTTCACATTTATTATCTAATATGGGTGGAGACAAATATCCCGAAAGACGAGATGAATTAATTAATATATTAGATATTGATCCAAAATGGAGAATGCATCAAGTATCAGATGGAGAAAGACGTCGAGTACAACTTGTTTTAGGTTTAATTCAACCTTGGAACCTTTTATTAATGGATGAAGTAACGGTTGATTTGGATGTACTTGTACGAAGTGATTTGTTAAATTTTTTGAAAAATGAGACTGAGGCAAGGAAGGCCACCATTGTATGTTTAAAATAATTGATAAAATAATAATATTATTAAAAATTCTTTTTATTATTTTTTTTTTTATTAAATTTATTTTTCATTTTTTTTTTTCCATTTTTCTTCAAGGTTTACGCTACTCATATTTTCGATGGTCAGTCCAATATTAAACAATTCCATATTTTTTTGTTTATTTATTAAAATAACATATAATAATATTATAGGGTTAGGTGATTGGCCTTCACATATCGCTCATATAAAGCGTGGAACTATAATAGATTTTCGAGATTTTTATAATAATTTTCCCGAATTTGATAATATGATAATTCATCAGCTTAAATTAAATTCTGAAAACATTAACAACGACAACAACGACAATAATAATAATAATAATAATAATAATAAAGAATTGATAACATATCTTCGAAGAAATATGGTTTCACCTTTATTAAAAGTAGTTGAACAATGGTTAAGAGAGGATCTTCGGGAATTACGACTTCAAGCTGAAGAAAGAAAGAAATTATCACAAGATCAGGATAAAGGCTTATTAGGTAATGAAAAACCAAGGACAAAATGGGATGACTTATCCGAAAATGTTACGGCTTACGGAGATAAATATTATAATTATTGGAATCATTAAAATAATTAAAATAATTAAAAATAATTAAAAATTATTAACTCTTAAATCTAGTAAATAATATAATTATAAAAATTCAATTCTATTTATTAATAATAATAAAAAATTTCTAAAATAATGAAATATTGCATCATTTAATATAAACAATAATTAATCAATTTATTTGTTTTGTTTTTTTTATAATAAAAATACATTTTGTAAATAAATATTAATTCATTCATCCAAAATATTACAAAACTTAATTTTCAATAATAAATCCAAGTATAACTGAAGATAAATAAATATCAAAATAGATAAATAAATATAATAGATAATTAAACGCTATCAAATGAAGAATATATAATTGCACTAAAAGCTTGTAATTCTTGGGTATCTCTGATAACCTATAATAAATAATAATAATAATTTTAATAATAAAATAATTAATAAATAAAATAATTTAACAAAATAAATAATTATTGATTATTTAATTATTAAAAAAAAAATAATAATAAATAAATAAATAAACATCATTAATTTAATTTTTTTTTTTTTTACTTACATCAAGGAATCTATTGGGTATATCATGAAGTATAACGTTCGCTCTTTTTGCAATAATTGGTAATAATTTTAAAAGTATCACATTCCTTTCAAAGATTTCATCAATAACTTCATTATTATTATTACTTTGTGGATCAACAAAATTTATGTATAAATCTTGACATAATAAATTAAATGCTGAATTCAAACAACTTGATAATACTGTTGCAAAATCCTGGCTGTTAATTTATAAATATTTAATAAATATTAATAAATATTATTAGAAATATTATTATTAATTTTATTGTTGTTAAATAGAAAATAGAAACGATTATATATTATTATTATTACTACAATAATAATTAATAAATAAAATATTTACAAACCTATGTAAATAATCTTTAGTCTCATCTAATAATTTCCTTAACTCTGAATCAATGAATGCTTCAAAGATACCATCACCTCCTTGATTTAAAACTGATAATTCATCTTCATGACTTTCAGGCATCATCACATTAGGAAATCTATAATTTAAAAATTCATTATTGTTATATTTAAATATTTCTTTTTTTTTTTTCGAAATAAAAAATAAAAATTAATGATAATTATTTAATATTACCCATGAGTTTGATTTCCTTCATCAACTTTTTCAATTCTAGCTCTTATTTCTGATAATAACCAAATAAAATGTTTATGTGAAATTTCTTTTTTCAATGACACTCTGATAATAATAATAATGATAATAATAATGATGATGATAATAATTAATTAATAAATAATTTAATTCATAAAATAAATAAATAAAATGAAATTAATATATATACACAAATATATATAAATATATATATATATTTTCATTTACCCAGATAAAATAGATTCAACAGCTTCTTTAATACGTTCTATAGCTTTTTTACTACCAACATTTAAAAACCACCATATAAAAGTTAAATATTTTTGTTCAGTTTTAGAACTTAACGTTGATCCTGAAGAAGATTGAATTTGAATTGATTGCTCTCTATCTCGTTCAGTAAGAGATACCACTGAATAAAGATAATTATATCTTCCTAATAGATTCAATTGAATTGTAAGTATTAAAGTGAGAAATGTTTCAAGATAAATGGCCGCAATTGTACGTATGAAACCTTTAAATAAATAAATAAATAAATAAATAAATAAATAAATATTAGAAGAAATAGAAATAAAAATAAAATAGAAATAAATAAATATAAAATAAATATAAAATGATTAAAAAACGTACTTTTATTTTTGACTTCATTTAAACACTCCAATTTAGATTTTCTATCAATTGGCTGATTAATTGAATTAGTTGAACTATTAATTGTAGTATTGGTGGTAATGGTGTTTGAATTATCTTGATCATTCTTATCATCCTTATCATTATTATTATTATTATTATTATTATTATTATTATTATTATTATTATTGTCATTATTATTATTGTCATTATTATTATTGTCATTATTATCATTATCATTATTATTATTATCATCATCATTAATAATAATTTCACTATTTGAATTATCTTCGTTTCGCGGATCTTTGTTATTTATACCATCAACATTATTATCAACATCAACATTAACATCTTTATCATCACCTTTATCATCATTATTAATTTCAGATATCGTAGATGGCGATGATGTCGAGGGTGCATCATTATTATTATTATTATTATTATTATTATCTACTATATCACTTGGTGTATCAGCAGCAATGTTATTGTTATTATTATTATTAATGTCATTATTATTATTATCATCATTATTATTATTATTCGTGTTATTGGTATCACTCTTTGCCTTTTGTAAAAATGCTATGTTTGAATTTACATCAAATTCTGTTAATAAATTCTCCGCTATAGTGGAAAGGTGAGCTACTACCGCGAAAGAACAATCCAATTGACGTAGTTGAAATCGACGTCGCATACTTTTTAATAATAATAATTATTATTATTATTATTTATTATTGTTATTATTTTTTGAGAATTATTAAAAAAAAGAAAAAGAAAAGGGAATTAGGAAAATTATAATAAGATTTGAATAAATATTGATAACAATTGAGATCGGAATAATTGTTGATAATTACTTTTCTCGAGCAATTTTTTCTTGTTGTATTTTTTCTTGTAATTCGACCATTTTCCAACTTGCATATTTCCCCAGACAATAAGCTCCACCGGCAATACATGTTGTAAGGATAATACCTTGTTGATGTTTTTTTAGGTACCTTTTAATCGCGGAAATCATTTTTTTTTATAAAAAAAACCAACGAGTAAAAAGGTATAAAAGATCCTGTAGATCGATCATAATTATTTTTAATTATCTGGCGCAGGACAAATTGTACTCTACGGATAGGGGATAATAATAAATAATAATAATAATAATAATGGTAATAATTAATAAAAGTTGTAACTTGAATTTCGATTCTTGTGCGTGTGTGAAGTATCAATTACTATTTTATGTCCAGACATTATATAAAGTTTAATCAAGTAGAGATTATTATAAGTAGAGATTATTAAATAGAGATTATTAATAGAGATTAAGCATGGATTATTAAAGCATAAGTAATCTTTATCATATGTTAAAATATAAAATTCTCATCTTTTTTATCAGATGGTTAACATTTCATCACCAAATAATGAAATAATATTCAAACTTGAGAAATCATTTCTTTAAATGTTAATAAGAATTTTTGATTACTTATTAAATACAAATTAATTAATCATTGAATAATGTAATAATAATAATAACATTTAATATATTTATTTGATTATTTGATATATTATATATATATGTATGTATATATTCTAAGTGATGAAATTTTATCAAAAAATTTTATCAACCACCCATCATCATCATCATCCATGAATGAAAGTTCCTCACTAAAAATAATAATCATATATTATCATCACATCACAATTATTTATCCTATCAGAATTTTTATTCTCATTATTCCCCCTTTATCAATGTCATTTTATATAATTTCTATATTAATTCTAAAAACTAAATTGAAATATTTTAAAAATAAGATATATATAAAAAAAACCTAATCTAAAAAAAAAAAAAAGGTTATGCATTAATTATTTAAAAAAAAGGGAAAAATGAATGAAATGAATAAGTAAATGAATTAATTAATGAATGTTTCCTATCCTATATTATTACTTTTTTTTTTGTTTTTTAATTATTATTCTTTCTTCTTTTCTAAAGAATAAAAGAAATCAAAGTTTTCTTAAATTGGTATGAACTAGTGATGATAGTATAAACTAGTATGAAACAGTAAGTAAGAAATAATAAGAAATAGTTTAATGAATAAAAGGAAAATCTAAATCAAAAAAAAATTAATTAAAATAATTTTCAATAAATCTCACATAAATCCTTTATAATATGTATAAAATCTTAGATTTCTATCACATTAATCTTTTTTTCAATCTTTTTCATGTATATAAGACTTATCATAATTATTTATCCTCCATTGAAAGATTTAATCTTTTTTTGATTGATTTTTCAGTCCAAGAATGAAATGATAATTTTTTTTTTTGTTTATTTGATTGAAATTTAATTGAATTTGGTTGAAATGTGATGGTGAGATCTCTGGGACTCGGAAAGATTGTTACAATGAATTTTTGAATTTGGATGAAACCTGATTGAATTTGAATAATTAGAATTAATTGAATTAGGGTTGATTAAATCTAACACATGTTAAAAATAGAAAAGCCATCACTAATAAACATATACTCCAAACAATTAATCCTAATAATGCTACCATGTTGACTTCTGTATATACTACCAAATATGCCAAGATACCTCCAAATATAAAAATTATTGTCAAGGTTTCTAAAAAAAATATATTTAGAGAATATATATGTATATACATTAATATAAAAATAGGAAAATATAATAACAACAACAATAATAATAATATAAAAATAAAAATAAAAATAATATAAGAATGAAAATAATAAATGATAAAAATAAAATAATAAAAATAAGATAATAAATAAATAATATTAATTAAATAGAAATAATAAAAAAATCATAAAAAAAATAATAAATAATAGCATACTTATAACCATGCTCTTAAATGCTCTTCTCTTTGTATACTCGGCTACAGCAAATGCAATACTTCTATCTATTTTATTTACAAATTGTAATCTAGAATGTTCATCTTCATTTGTATACATAACTCCAAGAGTAACAAAGCCAAATTTCCGGGATGCTTCGGTTTTAAGTCTTTTAGTTTTTTCTTTAATCTGTCTTCTAATTTCTTGAGAACTACTTCCTGTACTTGGTACAACACATTTAACTTCAACTATCGCTAAAATTCCGACATTTGATATAAAAATCAAATTCCCAGAATCCAATTGACCTTGGACTTGTACTTGCCCTTGTACTCCTTGGGCTTGCCCTTGTACTTGTCCTTGTACCCCTCCTAATAATATTCCTCCTCCTATTCCTACTCCTACTCCTTGTCCTTGTCCTTGTGGCTGTAGTAATACTCCTCCTCCTCCTCCTCCTCCTCTGTCTTCTCCTTCACTCCATTCTGTTGCAAATAAATAATCAAATCCTGGAAGTAATGTTTGTATATTTTTAATAAATTCCGATTTTAAATTATATTCAATTTGATTAAAATTATTATATTCAGTTTGACTAAAACCCCTTAACTCTCGAACATATTGAAAAGAATTTCTTAAACGATCATCCCTACGAATATTTAATGGTATCAAATTTCTATGTAACCTTGCCGAAGTTTGTATGAGGTAACCCAATAAATCTCCATGGTCCCAATCAAAAATAAAATTTCCTCGGTCTTCGGTTTCCCTCAAGGTTGCCGAAAGAACTTTTGATTTCGTAATTTGTGCCGCTTTAACATATACTCTATTAGGTATTAATTCTGTTATAGTTTCTTTTTGAATGGTTTTAAGTAAAAGTCTACATACTTGAGCTTCTAATTCTTTGTCACTCATGTTTTTTTTTTATTATATATATGAATATATTTTGATTTTTTTTTTTTTAAAGAAATTATTGATATTGATGATAATGATGATAATGATGATGATATGATGACGATAATTTTTTTTTTCAAATGTAAATAATAATTACTTTTGATCAATTAAAAAAAAAACAAAAAAAAAAACAAAAACAAAAAACAAAGGATGTTAAATAAAGATTAAGGAGTGATGAAATTTATTAAATCCTAATTCTTTGTTTTTATAACAATGAGTAAAGATGATATAATAATAAATAATAATAATGATAATAATAATAATAATAATAATAATAACGATATCGAGATAAAATTTTATGAAAAAGGGGAATTTTAAAATGTTGATGTTTAAGGGGAAACCAATGCATGTATTAGATGCAGGAACTTTACCTTATTCATTATTTTTTTTAATTCATGGCACACAAAATGAAAGGATTTAAAAAACCCAGATTTGGAAAGAGAGTAACATTTTTATTCCATTAGAGTCATATTTATTTCCATAATGTATTGATTATCTTGGCCATATATTCCAGTTATCTTAGTCATTTGAATTTTTTGGGTATTTTGGCTTTACATTTCAATTCATCTTTGGAAAATATGAATGAATTACACTACACAAATATAATAGGTGTTTGCGTGGATTTTTTTTAGAAAGGAAAACAATTAACTTTTTTATGAAAATCCCTAAAAAAAGCATTGTATGAGTATTATGAATATATAAAAATTAATAAATAAAAAAAAAATATTAATGTATTAATGTCAAAAAAAAGAAATTGATCGGTTAAAAATATAAAAAAGATTACTATATATATATATAAATGGGCATCTTTTGTTTTAGAAAAAAAAAGAAGTTAGAAGTAAAATTCTTTTGTCGATTCTTTTTCGTGTACCGAAAGGAAAAAAAAAAATATACCAAAAAAGGGACATAAACATTAGATGTTTTATCATTGTCGCCATTGTCCCATTGTCCATTATTTAGTGATGAACGAATGATGAACGAATGATGATGATGATGAACGGAATAAACGGAAATAAACAATAATAAAACAATGGACAGAATATTTTTTCCATGTGACAGATAACCCGCAGAAATGTAATTAATGTAATTGTTAATTAATGCTAAATAATATTTCAAATAATATAAGTAATCGTAATTTATGAAAGATATAAATATTATAAATGTAATTTTTTTTTATGAATGCTATGTATTGAACAATATTAATAAAAATTACAAATAAGTTATTATTTTACTATTTTTATATATATTGCTTCTAAATGTTTTCTATAATAGTAATAATCAATACCAAGCCTTTTCTTCCCCATTCATATTATATTATTTATTCATTCATTCATATCAATCAATCAATCTATCTATTCATTCATTTATTCATTCATTCATTTATTTATTTAGTCATCCATTTATTTAGTCATTTCATTCATTTTTTTAGTCATTTCATTCAATCCTAATATGTGTATCCATTTCTCAAAATATAAAACATGATTTTCAATTTTTTATTATTATTAAAAAAAATTACATATATAGAATTAATAAAATAAAATACAACATTAAAATAAATTTATATATCTATATAATATAATATGAAGAAAATTTTAAAACAATAAATTTTAAACAATAAATAATAATTAAATAACAATAATAATAGAATATACATATATTTCTTATTTTATCATTTATTATTATTTATTCTTTTCTTCTTTTTATCTTATTGTTATTGTTATTATTATTATTTAGGTGACAAAGCCTTAACGATCCTTAATTGTACACCACCATCAATTGAAAATATACATTGAGTAATCGCGATATCATAACAAGACTTTTCGGCGAATTCGATGAATGCACATCTCTAAACATGACATAAAATGGACATTACATATACATTATTATACTCATATACTTTACTTATTAATTAACAATTAAAAATAAAATAAAATAAAATAAAATAAAAAATAAAATAAAATAAAATAAAATAAAAAATAAAATAAAATAAAAAATAAAATAAAATAAAATAGAATAGAAAAAATTCCTACCCTTTCAGGAACAACTTCTATCCACAAAATCTTTCCAAATTTTTCTTCAATGCCATCACGTAATTTCTTTTCATCAATTTCAAAAGGTAAACCACCAATGTAAGCCCGATTAATTCCATTTCCATCATAAGGATAATAGAATGTTGGTTGTTGATGATGATTATTATTATTATTATACGATGTACCTTCGTAAAAATAAAAAAATAAAAAGTAAGCGGGTAAGGAAAGAAAGAAGGAAGAAAGAAAATGAAGGAATGAAGGAATGAAGGAATGAAAGAATGAAAGAATGAAAGATTTATATAATAATAATAATAAATTATAATAATAATAAGTTATAATAAAAAGAATATAAGAGAAGAAACTCAACTCACTATTGAAATAAGATCTATTCCTGTTTTGATATCTTCGATTTTGACTTTGCCAACCACCATTATTATAATTATTATTGTTATTAATATAACTATTGTTATTATTATAATTATTGTTATTATAATTATTATTAAAATTATTGTTGTTATAATTATAATAATAATAATTATAATTATTATTATTATTATTATTATTATTATTATTATTATTATTAATATTATTAAAATTACTGTTAATCATTCGATTAACAGATTTAACGAAATCCACTTCTTTACGAGTCAAATCTTCAGCCATAAAACTAATATTAGGATCAATTCTAAGATCACAACCTAGATAATTCATTAAATTATAAATCAATCCCCTTTGAGCCATGATAAGATTATCTTTAACCATAGAAATATTTTGATATTGAAAAAGAATTGTATCTTTTATTGCAAGTTGATTTAAGATAAGAGAACAAGATGGACATTTTATATTTTGAATATTTTGAACGTTTTGAATATTTTGAATATTTTGAATATTTTGAACGTTTTGAATATTTTGAATATTTTGAACATTATTGGAATCTTTCGAATCTTCTGAATTGTCTGAATTATTGGAATTATTGGAATTAGGAATAGTAGAAGTATTATTATTAGGAGGAAGAGGAGAAACAGGAGGAGTATGAGTAGTTTGAGTAGGAACGGTATTAGGAATTAAATTAGTAGGAATTAAATTAGTAGGCATTAAATTAGTAGGAATTAAATTAATAGGAATTGAATTAGTAGGAATTGAATTAGTAGAAAAAGGAAGTAAATTTTGAGATTGATGAAAAAATTGATGAGTAGTAGATGATGGAAGAGGAGGTAATATTGATGGTTGCGATGTTGGTGTTTGTGGTGGTAGTGGAGGAGGTAGCGGTAATGGTAAAGTAGGAAATAATAACGGATAACATTGTGACGGTGTAATTGTTGGTTGTGAAAAAGGGGGAGGAATTTGATAAAATGGTTGGGTTGTTAATGTTGTTGCTAATTGAGATGGTGGTAATTGATATATATGTTGTGGTTGCTGTTGATGTTGTAATGTTGTTGGTGGTTGATAAATTTGATATTGAATTGGTTGAATTGGTTGAATTGGTGGTTGAATTGGTGGTTGAATTGGTGGTTGAATTGGTGGTTGAATTGGTGGTTGAATTGGTGGTTGAATTGGTGATTGAATTGGTGATTGAATTGGATGTTGAATTTGTGGTTGAATTGGTAATGGTGTAAGAGTAATGTCCATCTTATCTTTATATTATTATTTATTGTTATTCTTTACCTTCTTTATTATTATTATATTATTATATATTATATTTTTATTTTTATCTTATTTTTATTTTTTATTTTTATTCTTATTACAAAATATATCAGATAAATAGATATATGTCTATTTTTTTTTTTTGAAAGATGAACTATTCATAAAAAAAAAACTTTTATTTTTTTTTTTTTTTTAGTAATAATAAAAAAGAAAAAAAAAAGACACGAATTTTAATAATTTTAATCAACAATTACATTTAATATCGGAAATCCAATCCAAATCGTATTAAAAACTGCTACAAGACATTTAGTTATTAAGTCTACAAGTCTAAATTATTAACATTAATAACATTAGTAACATTAAATAACATTTTTTATTACTATTCATTTATTGCCTCAAAAAAAAAAAAAAAAACATCATGTCAATATTCATCATCAACAACAATCGTCACCAACATAAAGATATATCATTTTTTTTACTCGGTTTTTAATGTTAAATAATAATAATTAATGATATTTACAATTGAATACAGTAACATTTGTAATACTTGTAATATTTTTCTTTGCATAATAAAACATTCCAGTGTTTAAGTAATCCAAAAGAGATCGATAAATAATTATTTAATTCTGTCAAAGATTAAAGATTAATAGTGGTGGGGGTCATCTCTGAATTTTAATATTGTATTAGAATTGTAAAAGTTGTATACTATTATTGTTATTTTTTTTTTCTTCTTTTTTTATAAAAAATACAAAATTACTTCTTTAAAAGTCAACGCACGTAAAATTTTACTAAAACATAAACAATTGAAAACGATCAAAACAAATTAAACTATTCTCTATTTGTGTCTACCACCACAATTAAGTAATTTATAACAGAGACAAATAAAAATATTTTATATAGGCAAGTGAATACATATATTTAATATAAAAAATATAATTATATCCAGTATATTTGGTTTAGCTTATGATGCTAATAACTCTCTACTGAAAAAAAAAAAATTAGTGTTGAATTTTTTTAAAAAAAAATCTCTTGAGACTTAATTAATTTATTTAGAATTAATAATTTTTTTTCACGAAATTCAACTATTATTGATTTTTTTTTTTTTTGATTTTTCTTTTTTTAATTAAAAAATTTCATGGCATACATTTAAGATAAATTCAAGATAATTCAAGAATGTACGAAGAGGATACATGTCATAAAAATAAATACTTGTATCGTACCATAATAAGAACAAATAAGAATTGTATTTTGCACATTGTTTGGATATTAATATTATCTTGATTTTTAGATATGATTATTGTTTCCCACTTTGGTTGGATTGTTACTATTATTATTATTATTATTATAATTATAATTAACAAGTTGTTATTTAACAAGCTTTTCTAGAGTAAAATTATACTGGTCACATTAACTATAGAAAAATAAAAAAGTAATTATAGAAAAATAAAAAAGTAACTATAGAAAAATTAAAAAGTAAACATCGGTGGTGATTCGAATATTTTTAAGTTTATTTCTTTAATACTTTAGATTTCGTAACTATGATAATTAAATTATGTTTAATCATGTTAACTAATAATATTTAGATGCAATAGAGGAAAAGTGAAAAGATAAAAAGTAGCGTGTATTTTTTTTACTTTATAATAATTCAATTATACTTAACTTCTGACCAAAATCACGTTACGTTAATATCGTTAATATCGTTCGTTAATATTAAAAAAAAAAGATTAAAACAATAAAGTCATGTTTTTTTAAATTTTTTTTTTTTAAAATTTTAATAATTTACGTTGAAATTACAAGAATAACAAGAAAAAAAAAATAACAAGGAAAAAGAATAATAAGAATAATTCCTAAACATTAAATAAATCTTTAAAATAAATAAATCTGAAATGAATTTAAAATCTAAAGTATAAATAAATAAATATATATATGTAAATATACAAATATATAAAATATATATATATATATATATAAATAAAAATATCTACAAATCTACAAAATTTACAAAGGTAAATTACCATGAACTTGTAATCTATATAAACAAGTGAATTTAGGATTTTCATGATTATTTAATATTTTAATCATAATAGCTCTTATACGATGATTTTCAAGTATATTAAATGTTTGAGTAGGTTTTCCTTCTAAATCATATTTATATTTACCTAAGAATAAATTGAAATCTTTTAAATTTTCAAATTCATTTCTTTTTAATTCACTTCCCTTATCATTATTATTATTATTATTGTTATTATTATTATTATTATTTTCAAATATATTATCAATCTCTATATTATTATTATCATTATTATTATCTTTATATAAAATAATATTATTATCATCATCTTCATCTTCTTTATTAATTAATCCCCATAATTCAAATTCTTTAGGAGAACTACTTAATGGATCAATAG